TTTTAAATAAATTAATTCGTATGACTCATCGGTTATAAAATGCTGTGAGTGAATGCCTCAGGCGGCGATCGATACTGTCGGCACGTTTGAACTTTGACAACCCATGGGATAATAAGAACTGAGAAGAAACTGCAGAAATATCAGGTACGTTGGTAATAATTAAAAAAATTGTTATAGATATCAGACAGAGGATAGCCAATGTATTTAAGACAAGTGATATAAATAGCTCGAACGAGATGAGTAGGAGATTTGGAGGTTAGGGGCGTTTCTTGTGAAATTTATTTAACGTTCAATATACCAAACACCCTCATTATTCTTCATCGAACCACTTAATAAATCGCTCAGAAATGAAGACAAACTGATTAAAATCCTGCTAACCACTTTTGTAATAAATAACGCAAAAATCGACTTATTTATTGGACATTGGCGCCATCACCGCCACTATAAATAAATTTCCCTTTTCGGTGTGAGATTTGCCCTTCGATTTCTCCCCCAGGAGTTGAATTGACATTGAAGTATGGCTTTCAATTTTCTTTCCCTAACAAAAGTGGGTTAAGGACCTTCTTTTAAGCAAAGCATCGCACTCCTGAGTGCATGAAAAATTCGCAACCGTAATTTTATCACTCAACAGTTGATAACGTCTACTCTAGTAAGAAAGAACTATGACCAAGAAGTTGTTACAGCCTCTTATCGTAAGATATATGCAAAACGGTTTTTTAAAAGTATTTAAATACAAAATGTAAGTACTTCTTTGATTTGCTATTTTAAATGTAAACTACAAAATAGATTTCCCTGTGGTATTTTAAATGCTAAACAAAAATGCGTATTTTGAAAGTACTTTTTTGTAGTACCTACCTATTTAGTTTTATACATTTACTTAAGTATAAAATATTTTTTAAGAAAACGTTGCAGGAATTTGCTCATTTTTTGAATATTGGAGTTTTTCCTAGACTAATAGTGGTGTTTGCATTATATCACCAACTACGAAGATTGTGTATGATTCATATTTTTCTGTTTGAAGTGTTTGAGATACAGTTTTTCATTTATGTTATAGTTTCTTCAGTTCAGCAACAAATAATTCTTCTGCATGCTTCCTTACTTACCTTTGTCACCCGTTTAAATTGGAAAAAAGACACTGATGCCAAAATAGTTTGTTTAGCTTGAAAAATCAGAACCAAAATAGGGTTGCAAATAATTTTATTGATGTCAAATTAGCATCAGTCAATTTATATCAAAANTGTTATTATTTTTGGCTAAATATGCTTTTAAATAAAGCATATTCTTAAATTTTAACAAGGCAGTTTAAATAATTTTGCAATTGGTACTGTACACTTTTGCCTAGTTCTCGCTCGATGATCGGTGGAGAAATGAGCTCCGCAGACAAATATGATTGAATTTGGAATTATGCTACGGCGCATCCTAATAAAGGGAAGGGGCATATATCTAACTTCTTGAACAGTACCTGCCTTTACTGCTTGTATTTATTATTTAGTTTCTTTAGTAGGTATCTATAATGAGTCTAATTTATTGTGCCTACATCTAAGGGCAGCAATGTATTTCGTAGACATGAAGCCAATTAGCAGTTTGTGCAGAAAGTCCTTCAAAAATTAAATTGCACGACTAACGCAAGCGTTTTGAGAGGGGTGCATGTAAAAAAAAGAGGTTCTTGTAATTGTCTAGCATAATAAACCGAAAGCATGTATATTGTGGCTGTATACGTAGTCAGCCAGTAACGAATGACGACATCAGTTTTAGATGACACTTACCATAGTCATTTCTTCCACCTGCTTCTCAACCACCGCGTCTCTTATCTCGAGGAATTCGACGTATATACGTAACTACATTAAACAAGGATTATTTGTCGACGGCAGCAGCGTCGATTATTATCCCCAATTAGTCTTGTAGCGTGTGGGGTGCGAAATAACGAACGACACGCTTTGACGGAGGGTTATTACTTCGAGAACAGACGCTTCTACACAATATACGTATCTGCACGTAAGAATAGGAAGCTGGGAAACGTACGGTAGGCAGATTAGTTCTACAAATTATGTTGATGACTAGTACTGATAAATTCGATCGTACAAGTACATATTGTTATGAGCGAATGCCGTAGGCAATCGATACCGGCGCAGCGCCACCTTTGATCGACCCCAAAAACCGTCAGCCGAGAGTCATAAATCATATAACAGACAAGGCTGGTACGTACAACAAAATATGTACTTAAGAATTTATGGTGATAAACTGAACTGATTATTTTCATGTCATTTGAATTAAAATGACTAATAACAGTTTGTAAATAATCGTAAAGGAGCAATAAATCTGAACAACAGACAAAAGGAAATGGGAACTTAAAATTAGTGGAAGTTATCTCATGTCATTTTGCTTTAATAGTCACCATGTAGCAAACATAATAGGAGACCTCTGAAGCCTAGTTAAAATATAGGTCGACCGATAAGTTGATGTTCAAAAACTGAGGAAATTAATGAGAATTAAATATCCACCCGTCTAATTTTAGTATATATATATATATATCGCCTTTAAATTCGCATTTTGGTTCTTAATGTGTTCCCATTAAATTAAGGCAGTTTTCATCCAGCATTCGGAATGACAGTAGTATTGTGAGTGAAGGGGTGGTTGATTTACCCTTTGCCTTTGTACAATTTACTATCATCCCCTCGACGACTCGATAGCCTGCTTGTTCTCCAATTTCTCCGTTTCGCCATTATTCACCCCCCGGGCGTGTCACCCGGAGCAAATGGGAAAAGGGGGGCTGTTGTACTCGTCAGTATATTAGTTTATCAGTATTTATTTCGTGGCACAATTCAACATTTATGCTGTTCCAAAACAAAAAGAATGGCGCGTTTGTATCATGAAGATTCATCATTTCAACGGCAAAATATAATATTATTGCCCTATTAAAATTTTAAATTCCTGAATTATCTTGGTGATAAGCAAAAACTGTCTTGGTCTTACAGTTCTGTTTCGTCCCGTCTTGCCTTGCCTTGGTCTTGAACATTTAGGAAGACCAAGACTTAATTAGCAAAGTCAAGACCAAGAACAACACCCATTCCCAAAATTCTCACCTAAATTATAATTCAGTTAAAAAATAGAATAAAATAACTCCATCATCATCATCATCATCATCATAAGGTCATCAGTCCTAAGACTGGTTGGACACGTACCTCCACTCTTTCCTATCCTGAGCTAAACTTCGCATTTCCCTAAAACTAGAACAGCCCACATCCTTAACTATTTGCGAACAGTAATCTAATCTAGGTCTACCTCTACCCCTCCTAACTCCTGTTTCTGCCTCTAATATGTCTCTGACTAGACCTTCATGCCTGAGAAGGTGTCCTACCAACCTATCTCGCCTATTTTTTATTGACTTCCATAGAGTCCTCTGTTCTCCTATTCTTTCCAATACCTCTTCATTTCTAACCTTTTCTACCCACGATATCCTCATCATCCGCCTATAACACCACATTTCGAACGCTTCTAACCTTTTCTTTTCCGCCGCTCCCACTGTCCATGTTTCGCACCCGTACAACGCCGTGCTCCAAACATACACCTTTAACAACCTTTTTCGAATTTCTAAATTAACCGTTCGCGAGCATAGAAGTGACTTCTTTTTATTAAAGGCGACACGACCCTGCGCTATCCTCTGCTTTATATCCCTACTACTCCTTCCATCCTCACTTATCTGACTTCCTAGGTATCTAAAATCAGCCACTTCTTCTAATTTTTCGTCTCCTATCTTTATATTCGCTCTTTCCCTACTTTTTCTTCCCTTGCATATCAGTATTTTAGTTTTACTTTTATTTATTTTCATACAGTACTGATCTGTCAGTACCGCTTCCATTTTATTTAAAGCTATCTCTAGGTCCTCCTTGCTAGATGCTAATACTGCTATATCATCTGCAAATCTAAGCATACTAATCTTTTGCCCTTGCACGTCTATCCCTACAGTTGTACTGTCTTTAATGATGTTGATGGCGTCTTCGATGTATAGATTAAAAAGTAGCGGTGACAGTGTGCATCCCTGCCTGACTCCCTTCCTAATATTTACTTCTCTACGTTGCATCCCCAGCTCTATAACTGCCTGTTGCTCTTTATACAAACTAAGTATCACTCTTCTATCTTTGTAATTCATCCCTACATTTTTAAGTATATTTAACATTTTGTCCAATTTAACATTGTCAAAAGCTTTCTCTAAATCTACAAATCCTATGTACGCACTCTTTCGTTTTTCTATCGTTTTCTCTATTGCTACCCGTAAAGCTAGAATGGCCTCCCGCGTTCCTCTATTTCTTCTAAACCCAAATTGATCTTCCCCTAATAGTTCTTCCGCCCTCAAAATTTTTATAATTCAGTTTTATTAGAAATCCGCCAATACTTTTGACTCATATTTATTTCCATTCTATAGTATTCTGTCAATACCGCTTCCATTTTATTTAACGTTATCTCAACTTCGCCTTACTAATCCAATCCTTGCTAGTGTGGATTAAAAACCCAGAAAATAAAACACAAAGATTTCGAGCACCAACTTAATGCCGTCCCCATCTTTAATTTCGGTTTTCTTTCGTGATGTGAAGGCCTAATAATAAATGTTGCCACGTTACGGAAAGCTAACTGTGCAGTTCTGACCTGCACTCAGACGTAAAAGTGTTTCAACCGGGAAGATCTTTTTTTATGATACGGTACTTGAAAAAAATGTTAGCGCCTATAAAATTCCTAAACACGTCCCTGATTATACGTTGGTGCCTACGTTAACGAAGTTTATTGTTCCAGCTTGACTGTTAACAGGTTTAAGTGGGCACTGACGAAACAGAGAATGGCATCGACGCTGTTGTTTTCTGGTTGTGCGTTGTGCCATTAGAGTTTTCCCAACGCAACTTCCACATCATCAGCAGAAGCTACATTTTCGCATTGCGGACTCTTTATTTATAAACTCCCCACGCAGTTTCCGGATGGAAATAAGTTTATAACTTTGGCCTACTTACCGTTACAGCAGACAGACACACACTCGATCCAAAAGGGTCAGACCGACGACGGACTGGCTCCTCGTCTCTCTTTTTCTTTCCCCGCCTTCACGTCTCCACCCTTTACCTCTTCGTTTTCCTTCTGAAATAGAGAAACGTGTTCTTTTGTCATTTGAAATGTAAAATTTCCTTCGAAGGCGTTCGAGCAATAAAAACAACAAATAGCCAAATAAAGCCCTATCCCGGTTTAAGAAGCGCTCGAGTACCGGGGGTGACACTTTTTGCACCCTCGAACGTCACTCGTCGTTTTTGAATTTCAAATTATCTTACATGTATGTATGTTTGGAATAAACGAAAGGGGGTTACGGGGAATTTTATGCAGAAAAGTGATTTAAACGCACGGCTACGAGTATCTTTAAATTGATGCTATTTAATAATTGAATATTTTACTACAACAATACGCGAATAGTATAACAGTACATAAGATTGACGTTTGAAGTTGAAGTTACATAAAAAATAAACTAGATGTAACACGTGATAAGTTAACCCGTAGGAAAATTTTCCATTGAACTTCAATGGGAATCAATGGAAAATTTGTAAATTCCGTTCAATACCATTTGTCATAAATGGAAAAATAATTGTTTCCATTAACAATAATTCCATTAATATTTACATAGCAAAAATTTCCATTGTTTTCAATGGGAACGAATGCAAAATTTATAAATTCTATTTAAAACCATTAAATATACATGGAAAAACAATTGGGTACCTAAAAATAGAGAAGATCTGGTTTGAGATGATTAAAACTTATTAAAAAAATGGAGGAAAACGTGCTGAACTTAATATGATTGTCAAAGCAAACATTTCCATTGGTTCTCAATGGGAACGAATGCAAAATTTATAAATTCTATTTAAAACTATTCAATATAAATGGAAAAACAATTGGGTACCTAAAAATAGAGAAAATCTGGTTTGAGATGATTAAAACTTATTAAAAAAATGGAGGAAAACGTGCTGAACTTAATATGATTGTCAAAGCAAACTGTAAAAATAATAAACAAGACATTATTTGGAATAATCATTGTCATGTAATTCATACTTGTTTTGGTCGAAAAACCTCAAATTTCATCTTGATTAAAAAGAATGTCATTTAATTACCGCTAACAATAATCAAAGGTAAAAAATAAAGAATTGACACTAGGATTTTCATTGGATTCAAGAATGGAAGTTCCAATGGAACGCAATGGAAATCTCATTGAGTTCGGAAATGGATTTCCACTAGAATTCTAGTGGAAATTCCTTTCATCCCATTGGCAATTCTCCATTTATTGCCATTAATTATTACTAGTGGTAATTAAATAGCATTTTTTTTAATGGAAATAGAACGGAAATTTTTCCTACGGGAAGATAGCTTCAAATAATCCTTAGACGACAACATAATGGAAATTTGGAGTAAAAACAGTCCGAATTATTCCTGAGAATTTTGAATTTTCTTTAGAGCTACTAACATGCTTAAATTCTACATGTCTACATCTTTTTCTGTTACACATCAATTCGTATAATGTTTTCTTTATTAGTGTCCGCTGCAATTCCTACCTGGCATCTCTTTTCTATGTTTACGATGTTCCCTACACTACAACGTCTGTCGCGAGTTAAAGTAGGCGTTCTGTCAGCAACCGCTCCAGTCCAGTTAGTACGTTGAAAAAAGAAATTAAATGCGACAGTTTTAGAAAAATTAGTTACCAATTCCACCAATTTTTTTCAACGGTGCCAATAAGAATACAAAGACAACAAAGGTGTCACCTTTCGGTTGTGCGCAACTTTTAGAAAATATATGTATCGAAGTTTCTTCTGAAGGTAATTTTTCATCGAAAGCTCGCTCCAATTCATTCAGAATTGACGAAAGGAAATTCAAGTGAAATATAGAGTAATCTTATCAGTTTGTACAGTAAGGGCGAGACAAAACATTCATTCTGAGTAAATGCAATCCCTTTTATTGGCACCCTTCTTCCGAGTCTAAACTAATATAAATCGTTTCAAGTACGTAAGTAAAGGGCATTTCTCTTTAATTCCGTTTTGATCGACTGCTCTAAAGGCGCTGAACCGTTTTCTCGCGAGATATTTCAAACAGAGATATCTCACAGGAAAGTAAATACCCTTGAGGTCCATTTTCCCAAGTGCATTTCCTCTTTTTAAACGAGAAAGGTTCACTTGACCGAATAATTCAATAAAGAAATCTATATTTAGAATTCGCTTAGGAAAATGGAACGGAATAGGAATTACTAAATTCTGTATCTGCACATATCCAGGTATTTAAAAAAACCGTTCAAAACAAAAAAATGGTAATTTATTTATTTGTGAAAATAACAATTTTATTTATTTGTGAACAGAGGCCATTATGGAAATTAATAAGAAATACCTTGGCGAGATATACTAGTAGGACATCTATTCACACATGAAGGGGTAGTTAGAGGCAAATTAGAAACAGAAACAGTAGTTGAGAGGGGCAGTAGTAGGTGATAACGGGAAAGTCTTCAAAATTTACCAAATGATCGAATAAAATAATTCGAACTGGTGTGTGTTCTGTCGAAACTGCCAGACGCGGATCGCGATTTCGATCTTTTTGGATCTCATCAGCGCAGGATTTTGTTTCAGCAAGTAGACATCAATTTTAAATTGACCTTGTTGAGAATACGTAATCCTAAAATGTAGCATTGTACTACAGATGGCGTTTACCGCGCCATTTGTGGTATTTTATATTACCAAATGATATTATGATAACTTTCCTATTCGAATTTTTAATTGTATATACGACATTGACATTAATACTTTATTATAATTAGGTAAATCGTGATGATTACCTCTTAAAAATCAGCAACACTATTAGTGTTTTGAGTTCTCTCAACGAATTGTAATTGCATACATTTCATTCGATCTATTTACAATCGTATTAAGTGAATAAAATTCTTATAAATTATTTTATCTTATACAGTTTGCGACAAGGAAATGCCATTATCATAGATTCACAGATGATAATGCTGAAATGATGCCGACACCGAAATCCGTTTCAATAATTTTGTCAAACACGAAGTCGTTTAGTTATGTTAACAAATACGAAAAAAGCATAAGGCCCCGTACTTTAACGATTATTTACTGCAAACAGGGAGCTCTCTCAAGAACGACCTGCGAGGCGCGAATCCCGGAAAGACAATAGCCCCTTTATCTTATAAATTACGTAATACACAAAGAAGGCTATGGAAGCTCTGAAAACGTATTATTGCGGTCTGCAGACGAAAGATTACGAATAAAGGAGCAAGAATCCCAGATACCGAGCAGAAAATAATAAAGATGTGCAAAGACGAATGAGGAATCCAGTCTTCTAAATGAAAAAACAAATTTTAGTTAAATTGGATTAAATGATTCAAGTTTATTTTGTTCGAGCAAGAAATTGTCGCTGCCAGCTACCAAATGTTACCGTTTATCTTTTGTTTCTTCTAATCAACTCTTTTAACTAAAATCATATAATTTTTTTGAATAGCTAGTTCATCAATACAAGAAACGCAACATGGATGTCCATGCCCATGAGATTTTGAAATACCTCTACAAACCGCACACTACAACATTAATAGGATTAGATGTATTCCGTATCTGACATATAATCTCGAAAATCTGATTGGTTTCAATAATACAAACATGCAATTTATATGCATCTATAACCTAGCGTGCAAATACAAATACCAAGCTCCCACATATATGTAAACAAGACGATTCCTTATTAAACTATAAGTAAATAGTCAAATAGTCATCATATACAACACAAGTATGTATAGGGTTGTTCGGAAAGTCATTTCGTTTTTTCCCGACAGAAGATTTAATTGTATTCTTTTGCACCCAACTTCACATTGAAGACGTATAATTTTTATATGCTTTGAGATCTCATATAGCAAGGCTTCTCACAGAGAGAAATCTGTGTCGCCGCATTGACGTCTGCGATTCGCTTCTCAAACGTCACGAAAATGATCCGTTTTTGAAGCGCATCATCACTGGGGACGAAAAATGGGTTGTATACAACAACGTCAAACGCAAGAGGTCATGGAGCAAAAAAGATGAACCGGCTCAAACCATTTCCAAAGCCGATATTCACCAAAAAAAGGTGATGCTGTCTGTTTGGTGGGATTTTAAAGGAATCGTTTTTTTTGAGCTTTTACCGGATAACACAACGATTAATTCGGAAGTCTACTGTCATCAGCTGGACAAACTGAATGATGCACTTCAACATTGACGTCTGCGATTCGCTTCTCAAACGTCACGAAAATGATCCGTTTTTGAAGCGCATCATCACTGGGGACGAAAAATGGGTTGTATACAACAACGTCAAACGCAAGAGGTCATAAGATACCCACCATATTCTCCAGACCTGGCACCATGGGATTATTATTTGTTCCGGTCACTCCAAAATTTTTTAGACGGTTAAACCTTCACCTCAAATGAGGAGGTCAAAAACCTCCTCGATCAGTTTTTTGCCAGCAAAGACCATATATAATTTAATAAAGTATTTGTTTATTATACGAAAACTGTCTTTCATTTCCACAAAAAAAACGAAATGACTTTCCGAACAACCCTATATTATAGGACGTACCTTGCATATTTGTAAAGGTTCCGTCGTAAAATTATAAGAAAAATGGAATGTACATAATATTTCATAAATTCAGACATCATCATCATCATCATAAGATCGTCAGTCCTAAGACTGGTTGGACACGCAACTCCACTCTTTCCTATCTTGAGCTAATCTTCGCATTTCCCCAAAACTGGAATAATCCACATCCTTAACTATTTGCGAAAGTAATTTAATCTAGGTCTACCTCTACTACTCTTAACCCCTGTTTCTGCCTCTAATATGTCTCTGACCAAACCTTCATGCTTGATGGTGTCCTACCAACCTATCTCGCCTATTTCTTATTGACTTCCATAGAATCCTCTGTTCTCCTATTCTTTCTAATACCTCCTCATTTCTAACCTTCTCTATCCATCATTCATTTGTATCACAACATTTCAAACGCTTCTAACCCTTTCTTTTCCGCCTCACCCACCGACCATATTTCGCACCCGTACAGCCCCGCACTCCACATATACACCTTT